AAAGTGAATTCTTTGGTGCTTGGGTGGACTATTCGAAAGATGTCTGTTAGGTCCATTTGATGTATAGTATCATTTAATTCAAATGTCTCTCTGTTAATTCTTTGTCCAGTTGACCTGTATAATGGAGATAGTGGAGTACTGAAGTCCCCTACTGTTACTGAGTTGGGGTTAATCTGTGTCTTAAAGTCTTGTAGTGTTGTTTTTATGAATTTGAGTGCACCAGAGTTTGGTGCATATATGTTAAGGATTGTAATATTTTCTTGGTTAACTGTTCCTTTAATCATAATGAAGTGACCCTCCTTGTTTCTTCTGATTAGTTTTACTTCGAAGTCTATTTTGTCAGATATTAGAATTGCAACCCCTGCTTGTTTCTTAGTGCCATTTGCTTGGAATATTCTTTTCCATCCTTTTACCTTAAGGTAGTGCCTGTCCTTGAAGGCGAGATGGGTTTCTTGCAGACAGCAAAGAGATGGATTTTGTTTCTTAATCCATTCACTTAGCCTGTGTCTTTTGACTGAGGAGTTCAGTCCATTGATATTTAAGGTTATTATTGAAAGATGTGTATTGGTTGCCATCACTTTGATTGCTGTTTGTGTTCTCTGTCTAATTCTGCGTTTCCTCAATTATACCTTTATTTATTTTCTTTCATTGCCCCTGGGGTATAGTTGTTTCTCTCTCTGCTCTCTGTATTGCTTCAAGTATTCTTTGAAGGGCTGGTTTCCTGATCATGTATTCTTTTAGCCTATTCATGTCATCAAAATTTTTTCTTTCTCCTTCAACTATAATAGACATTTTTGCTGGTTAAAGTATTCTGGGCTGGCATCTATTGTCATGTAGAACTGGAAATACCTTAGTCCAGGCTCTTCTGGCTTTCATAGTTTGCATTAAGTCAGCTGTAATTCTGATGTGTTTCCTTTGTATGTTACTTGTTTTTCTTTTGCTGCTTTCAGTATTCTCTCTTTGTTCTGTACATTTAGTGTTTTTACTATGATGTGTCATGGGGAGTTTCTTTTTCTGATCCTGCCTATTTGGTGTTCTATGTGTTTCCTGTATTTGTATGGGGATGTCTTTCCTTAATTTCGGGAAATTCTCTTCTATAATTCTGTTTAAGATCTGGCCTATACCATTAACCTGAAATCCTTCTCCTTCCTCTATGCCTATGATCCATAGATTTGGTCTTTTCATGGTGTCCCACCTCTCTTGCATATTCCATTCTTGTGTTTTTTAAAATTTTCCATAATCTTTGCTTGAGTGGTCCAATTCTTCAACTTTATCCTCCAGTCTTGATATTCTTCTGTTTTCCATTTCATTCATTCTAGTGGTTGTTGTGCCCAGAGAATGGACCCCCAAGAATAACCACAGAATCCAGAGGGCATGCAAGAACAAAGAGTCTTTATTCGGGCTTAAGCTCGGGCTCTCAGACCTCACCAACCCAATGGATCTGTGCTGAGAGCCCCAATTGCAGGGGGAGGAAGCCTTTTATAGGTTTTAGACCAAGGGAGGAGAGGAATAACAGAGTCACATCTTGATTGGTCCGAGGAGCCTGCATGCGCCAACACACTTTTGAATTGATTGGTTACAAAGGATGCAGTCCTGGGGGCTTCTCATTGGCGGGTGCTACCCTCAGAGCTATGGAATGTGCTGACTGTTATCTGTGAGGCCAGAAGTCTCTGTTCTTACCTTATAAGGCTGCTATATGCCTGGACTTGCTTGATCTATAGCCTCCTGGGGTGGGGGTAGTAGGTGGAGATTACGGCATGCCTGGACAGGTCCAGGCTTGCCTGAAACAACTAGTCAAAATGGGGTCAGTGCAGTTTGTCCCCTCAGCCTAGCAATCAAGCAGTTTACAGAAGCAAGAAAGAGCCGTTATTCCTAAAGAAGGTCAGGGGTCTCAGGAGTCCAGGGCAGGGGGGGCCATGGAGGAAGGTTTCACATGGTGAGGCTTTCCCCTGTTGTTTCAAGTTGTTTTATTGAGTTTTGCATTTCCTTCTTCATTTCTGCCTGAGTTTTCTTCAATGTTTCTATCTCTTTTGTGAATTCTTTCAGACGTTTATCCCTATCTTCTCTTAGTGCTTTGATTTGTTTCTTTATGTGTTCTTTAAATTTGTTGAATTCCTTGATCATGTTTATCAGTGTTCTTTTAAATTCAGTGTCCTGGGTTATCTCTAGGGGGTTCTCCTTGTAGAACTCTTCTACAGGATTGGTGGAGTTTGGTGGGGACATAGTGTTTTGGCTTTCCATTTTATTATTCTTTTGTTGTGATTTTGTCATGTGAATTTCGTTTGTTGTTTATGATTCTGATATGAGAATTAAGTTGAAATATGCTTCTGTTTGTATTATTGGTGTGCCTCGGTCCTTTCCTTATTGGTTATGTAAAGTTGTTTGGTACAGGTTTCAGGTTCTCTTAGGTTTCATTTTGGAAGGAACATTCACAGAAACCCAAGTCAGGTTCCAGTCAGGCATACTCAAGCTTCCTTCTAAGGTTTGGACCCCTATTAGCAGAAACTCAGGGCAAAATTTGGGAAGTTCCCTAAGGGGGAGAGGAGTGATTTGGGGACTCTCAGTAGGTCCCCTGTGTTCTCAGCCCTATGCCAGAGGGAGGCCAGACCAGTACTCTCTGGTAGTCTGCTGAGATCACAGCAGCTGTACCTACACTGATAGAGGTTGGAATCCACCCACTCAGGCTGTCTGCTAGGATCTCAGCCTTAGCCTACCAAAGCCAGGTCTGCCCTGGGGCCTTGAGAGGGGCCTCACAAAATCCCAGGTAGGGGAATGGGTTCGGAGCCATTAGGGGAAGTTTACTACCAGGTGGAGGCAGGATCCGGGTGCTCTCAGGCAATCCCCTGTGTTCTCAGCCCCTATGACAGAGGGAAGCCAGAACTTGCACTCTCTGGTGGTCTGCTGAGATCACAGCTGCTATACCAATGGAGGTCAGAACCTACCCTCTCGGGCTGTCTGCTAGGATCTCTTTTTGCTTTGAGGCAGAGGCAGGCAGATCTCTGTGAGCTCAAGGCCAGCTTGGTCTACATAGTGAGTTCCAGGACAGCTGGGGCCACAGGGAGACCCTGCTTCAAAAAAAGACAGAAAAAAAAAAGGTGTGTGTGTGTGTGTGTGTGTGTGTGTGTGTGTGTGTATGTGTTTTAGCTTGTATCACAGAGTGCATGTGGAGTCCAGAAGACAACCTCATGTGTTGGTCCTTGCCTTCCACCTTAAGACAGTGCCTGTCCCCCTTTCTTGTAATCTGGTGGTTAGCTGACCCATGAACTCCTGGAAGGAATTCTCCTGTCTTTCCTCCCATCTCTCCATAGGAGCACCAGTATCAGGGGTACATGTTTTTCTGCCCAGCTTTATGTGAGTTCTGGGGATTCAAATTCATTCCATTTAACCATCTTCCCAGCCCCTCTTCTTGTTCTTTATTTTGAGATAGACTCTAGCTTACCTCACTCTGTAGCTCAGATAAGACTTGAAGTTTTGATTTCCTAGCTCAGTCTCCTGAGTTGCCTTGGTTACAGGCCTGCACCACAATGCCCAGCTCACCTTCTTTGAGAGCTAGAGCATTTAAAAAAAAATTATTTTATTTTATGTATATGATTATTTTGTCTGCATTATGTAAGTGCCCATAGAAGTCAGAAGAGGGCATCAAATCCCCTGGAACTGGAGTTACAGATGGTTGTAAGCCACCATGTGGGTGCTGGGAACTGAACTGTGGTCCTCTGTAAGAGCAGCCAGGGCTCTTTGACTGCTGAGCCATCTCTCCAGCCCTGCTAGATCATGAATGTATTTCCTCTAATATGAAAGCCTGGCATAGAGTGGTGTCTTTATTAGTCATGGTTAGTTGGTTGGTTGGTTTATTTGATTAAACACAGAAGAAAATTATTTCATTGCATCTTCATCAGCATGCTGAACTTCTCCATAGAGTTAAATTTAGAGGAAACTACAGGTATTTCCAGTCATTAAATCAGCCACTACTTGGACCATAAGGAAAATTTTAGATTTTCCTAAGACTTTAATTATGAGAAAGTTTGTACCTGATTGCTTTCTATTAACCTTAGGAACGTTTTAAGAAACATTTCTTCTTCTACATTATACTTGCACCACTCCCTTGTTTATCCATCTCTAGTGAGCCAATACGCATCTTTTAAAAAGCAAACACAATGGCAGAGAAGATTCAGATTTAACTTTGTCTCCTAACTCCTTTTGGGAAGCTTTTTATTGCCGACTCACAAGTGATTTATTTCTCAAAAATAGGCATCTATCCCTTTGGATATAATCTGCCTTATGTACCCCTTGGTGTCTGTTATTTTATGTGTTATTATTTTATTTTGTATGTATGAGTGTATTGCAATGCCCGTGGAGGTCAGAAGGCATCAGATCCCCTGGAACTGGAGTTACATACACTTGTTAGCTGTCATGTGGGTGCTGAGAATTGAACCCAAGTCTTTTCCAAGAGCAGCCAGTGCTCTTAACTGCTGAGCCATATCTCCAGCGCCCCCATCACCACTTTGGTGTATTAATTTCAGCCTTTTAATTTTTTGCTTCCTGAGATGTCACCTATATTATTTCTGTTTGTGTTAATATTGTTTGAGTTCTAATCAACTCTTTGGGTTTGACTGAAACCCTGTTCTAGAAGCAACATGTGCATTCATCTTCTGATTTTCAGAATCATAGCAAGAAAATGATAGTGTGAAAAGGCATGTCTGTTTAGTGCCACATGTCTGGGCCACTGAGACCACATGATGGGACTAAGGATCTGAGGAAGAGAAAAAAAAAAAAAAAAGGCTTGCAGGGAAGGAGTATTTAATGGTAACCAGAACATTGGGTTTTCTTTCCTGGTCAGAACCACAAATAGAAGCACATTAATAAATACCAGATTCTTAGAGAGCCTTCCACAGTTCTTTAAACTTAAGCTGGGCTTGTTTCTTGCCACTACTGCCACCTAACGCTTCAGGCTTCATTTCTCTAAGTGCAACTGTCATATAGTCTGATCCTTTCCCATTTAGGGTACCACAGCCTATGTCCCTCAACAGTCCTGGATTCAGAATGGGACCATAAAAGACAATATCCTTTTTGGATCAGAATTGAATGAAGAGAAGTACCAGCAAGTTCTTGAGGCTTGTGCTCTTCTCCCAGACTTGGAAATGTTGCCTGGAGGAGACTTGGCTGAGATTGGAGAGAAGGTACTTGGGACAAGGATCCTTGGAGGGTAAAGAAATATTGAAGAAAAAAGTGAGGATGGTAGTGAAGAAGCACAGAGTAGTAACATGGTTGATAAGCCATAGTAGTCACACACACACACACACACACACACACACACACACACACACAGAACATGCTTGCACTGACTGGTATTTTACATAAATAACCCCAGCTTCTAGAACTTTGTACCTGGAAGCAAATACAGGAATAATATAACCTAAATAGAAGTACTAAGGCAAAGGAACCAAGAGGCTAAGTTTAGTGTAATGGCCCAAAGTTGCCTTGCATTATTAAATATAGCTTATAAAAATAGATCATAATAACCATATTATATCCATTGTATAGACATAGTATAATTTATTTAGAAATTTCTGATTATCACATGTTTAAAATATTTTTATCCTTCTTCCCTATTTTAAAAAATGAATATAACAATCTTCTGGGACCAAGGATCTTGAGATGCTAGAAGATTAGTGAAAATACAGTTCTAAAGTAATTTTCTCATCTAATTCAGTATCCATAGACTGACCAATTAGTATGTGACAGACACTCTGGCCTTGTATTTTCTCTGCATGCTTATGGGTGGGACACAACAAAGGCATCAAATTAGTTAATAATATGATAGAAATATTAAGTTGGGCATGACTTTAATTATTTGGGTTAAAGTTATTCATATGAATAGATGCTACTTATTTGTATAAAGAAACATAACATTTTAAAGCCCTTAATTCTTTATTGAAGCAAATTTCTTCTCTTTACTCCTTTTTACTAGATTCTGTGAAGGTGAGACTAGGAAGTCTTGCTTAATAGAAATTGTTTTCTTTTTCAGGGTATAAATCTCAGTGGTGGTCAAAAGCAGCGAGTCAGCCTGGCCAGAGCTGTCTATCAAAACTCAGACATCTATATTCTAGATGACCCTCTGTCAGCTGTGGATGCTCATGTAGGAAAACACATTTTCAATAAGGTCGTGGGCCCCAATGGCCTGTTGAAAGGCAAGGTGAGAAGTCATTCAGTGATGAAGATAAGCAGGGGAGGCCTTGTGGGGCGGGTCACATACTTCTCTTAGTCCAGTATTGCCCTGAAGCAGATTTTCTTATTCATCTACTTTCTGTCAGACTGGTCTCCTGCCATGAAGTATAAATTGAGGCTTACTTTGTGGCTCCAATATTGAGACTCAGGATGACTGGTTAGGATTAAAAATTCTTTTGCTGGAGAGATGACTCAGCGATTAAGAGGACTGAGTGCTCTTGCAGAGGACCTGGTTTGATTCCCAGCACCCATGTGGTGGCTAACAACTGTCTATAACTCCAGGTCCAGGGAATCTGACGCCTTTTTCTGACCTCTGAGGGCATTGCATAACACAGGTGTACTTACATCATGCAGGTAATACACTAATACACAAAAAATTTTTAAAGTTCTTTTTGACCTGTGGTTATAATAAACATTACATATAATATATTTGGTTTTTGTTCCTCTGTTGATAACACCATCTTCCTTAGCAATAGACAGGGAGATTCTAACTATATTGGTTTGTTTCCTTCAAGATTTCTCGAATGCTGCTAGCCAGAAGATGACAGTGTTGATAAGACATGGGCTGTTGTTTCACTGAGGCCCTTTGCCCTCTGTCTTAGGTCAATGTATCAGCAGGAATTCACTCTTCCTCCTATTCTTAGTCTTGCCTTCTGTCCTTAAGGCCTTCTTGGTTTCATTCATTCATGAATAAACACCCATCTGATGACAAATTTGTTGCAAAAATTTGGCATGATTAGGTAGAAAGGTTTGTTCCTCACTCTCATGTAACTTACACTGTAATAAGAATACATACCAAAAAACAAGCAATAGTATAATACAAGAAGTGATTTTATGATAGTCTGTGCAAACTACAGTGAAAATCATGAAAATTCGAATACCCATGTCTTACCAAGGAACTTAAAAAACTAGGACTTTGCTTTGAGGGAGACATAAGGAATGAGCATCTCCTAGATATTCTAGAAGGATCTAGCTTCAGCTGGGCTGTGAAGTAGAGAACAAATGCAGTAGGATCAGGTTATTTCTCAGAAGCCCATTACAGTCACACATGATCTACTACATCTTCTTTGTTGACTAATGTATTTGTCTTTCTGTGAATAGAGTCCTGTCTCTGTAGTCAGGACACAGGAACACAAGGGATGTCAAGTATCTAACACAGAGAGGCTTGGGTTAAAAATGGTGTTTCTTGTCCCACAGTGTCTCTTAATACACTGAAAAATCTGGGCAGCTCTTTTTTATACAGTCGGTAAGCCTGTAAGTACAAGACCAGTAAGTGAAGAGGGACAATTAATCAGTTATCTTTCCATAACGACTAACAGGCAGGCATTGGTCTCAAGTAATTTCTCTTAGCTCAGTCTTTTGCTCTCCAGGGACATGGAGGCAATATGTGTAAGACAAACCTTGTTGTCTCTATAGGAAAATAACTGTGAGTAGATCCATGACTCTCGAAGTCTCATTTCACATATAGGATAATGTTTTAAAATAAAATGCTGGGAATCAAAGATGAAGTAAAATAAGCCAGGTAGTCAGGGCCACATTTTGAAACAAAACCCCAGGGTGAAATGACATCTGTTTTTCTCTTTTTAGAGCAATCTAGGGAAGATGTCAGGCATGGGATAATTAAAACAACTTAATATTATTTTTACAGACTCGAATCTTGGTTACACATGGCATTCACTTTCTTCCCCAAGTGGATGAGATTGTTGTTCTAGAGAATGGCAGCATCTTAGAGAAAGGATCCTATCATGATCTGATGGCCAAGAAAGGAGTGTTTGCTAAGAATCTGAAGACATACATGAAACGTTCAAGTCCTGAAGGAGAGGCCACAGGTATGTAAGCAAGATAGAACAGGATGGAACTTGGGGCCTGGGTGGGATGATAAACCAATATTTACATCCATACAAACCATATTTAGTAACCAGTGATGTACATTTGGGAGTGAGTTGCCCATAGATTTAAATTCCATTATTCTGTGTCCTATGTCTCTGTAAAGAAACACAGAAATCGAATTTTTTTTTCCTGTGCCAGTGGCATTTTCTACTCCTTCACAAATGACACTTCAGCATATATAACTGAATGTTTGCATGCGTAACCCCTGAGAAAAAAAATAACAGTGTTATAAAGAACTCTCTTTTAGGGATTCCAGGCTCCCATTATCTCAGGTCACACATCCTACCCCAATTACCTCAAATTCATTAAATCCTGGATAGCTTCGTGGGATAGTAAATTTTTGGTGATCCTTAACAAAAGAATATTGATTAATACATAAAAATATCACTGTGTGTTTGAACCAGAAATAAAAATCCTAGCAGTTGCGTAGTTTCACAGTATATCATAGAAACAGCTCCCAGTACCACCACCATTAGGCTCACTGGTTAGCCATAGTTAGCATTGGAGCCATGTTTACTGTGACTCTTCCCAAGGACCTTCCAACAGTAGTCCTGGGCATAGCACCAGGTGGTGGTCACAAATAGGAAGTTAGGATTTTGAGAAGGTGAGATCTGAGGCTGCATTCCCAATCAGTAAATGAGTAGCCCAGGAGGACATAGTGGAAGTATATTTTGACTATGAGATCAGGATATGGAATTATTTTAAGATTTTTTTAAAGATTTATTTTTGTTTTCTGTATATGAATGTTTTCCCTGTATGTATGTGTGTGTACCACATACTTGCCTGATGCCTGCAGAGGCCAGAAGAGGGGCCCTGGAACTGGAATTACAGATGGTTGTGAGCCACCATGTGGATGCCAAGAACCAAACCCGAATTCAGTTTTCTTAGCCTCTGAGCCAGCTTTCTGGCCCTGGGATTGTTTTAAACCACTCTGCAAAGCAAAAAATCTGAAAAGAAAAGCCTACACCAGGAATCATAAGTTTAATGGACAGAACAGAAACAAAGAGCAGGGCAGTGTGGGTGACAGGGACTGGGGACCAAGTCAAGAGAGTGGGAACAGGGGTCCCAGGAAGCAGAAGGAAGGAATTAGTGATTTCCATTGTGCCCTTTCATGTTCCTGTACTAGCATGGAGAACATGACAATCGCCTACCTGGAGTGGGGAGTGAAGGTCTTAAGTCAAGGATGGTGTCTAATGTTGAATCCCCTGAATTACTGGCTCAGTAAACCACATCCCTCCAACTGAGGCATTTTCCTTATGTGATTTAAATTTTTTTTTCTGATTCTCCTGGATCTGAGTTCCTAGATTATTATAAACTCCCATGGGTAGATGGTCCCCTTTTGAAGAATCTTGTCTTTTATGTACCAGGTGTACTTTTTAAAATAACCCATAAGACCTTCTTGTAAATACTGGGAGGCCATTTCTGAAAAGTTACATAAACCCCTGAGCCCAGCATATTATTTTGTTGGTTCTGGGATTTGGAACTAGATGAGAGAAGGACAAAGTGAGTTGTACTGTCTCTATTAGTTTCCTAATTAGCTGCTTTGATAAAGCACCATAAATTGGATGGCTTAAATCAAAGCAGATTTATTGTCTATACTTCCAGAAGCTTGGTGGGCTTCTAGATTGAGGTGTCAGTAGGTTTTCTTTCTTCTTAAGGAAGGATCTCTTTGGGCCCTCTCAGATTTTAATGGTTCATGGACAATCTTTATTGTTACCATATGTTGTTGTTTTTTTATTTAACTTCCTGAAGTAATTCTATTAATTATGTGATCTTTGTCATGTGTGGCCTTTAATGATTAGGCAGAATTCCTTAAATGTCTGGCACCAGTAAGTCTCTGAGCTTTGGCCCAGAGCCTCTGTATGTGTGTTGGGGTGTGTCTTTAACACAATCTCTGCCTTAGCCATTGCTTCCTGCTTGTACAGAGCTACAAGATCAACCAGAAATGAAGATTAGAGCTTCTCCAGTCTTGCCTGGGCATGGGTACAGCCTTACACATGTGTAAGGCATCCTATATTACCAGGACTATATCAGAGATATCAAAGCTCTATATGAACATCTCATTCCTCAGTTTTTTCCTGATTTTGGTCAGCTTCTTATTTGCCATATTGTTGCCAGAAGTTGTGATATTAAATATTGCTGGTGATTATTTGAGCTAGTCCTTGGATGGGTCAAGTAAGAACAGGCCTTGTGAATGGAGGTTTTCAGGCAATGCTGGACAGGTATGATAATGGCATTTATCCTGGAATGGGCCTTCAGGGAGAGTTTTCTAAACCCACTCTGTCTCTTTAGTGTTTGTTAGGCTAATAGTTTTTATGTCTAGCATGAGCTCTATAAGAATTGGTTTTCTAGACTATAGCAGCTGAGAAGAAGATGGAAATAGGGCACATTCACCAACCACAAGGGGTCCTGTTACTAATTCAGTCATTTAAAAAAATCCTTAGATTGTAATTGTTGCAAACCTTGGTTGATTTCAGAGTCTTAAAAAAGTAGATTTCTGGAAATCCCCTCCCCAATATTCTCATTACTTTTGTAGAGGGGCACATTTCTGGAGATCTTTGTTTTTACCATTTCCGCTGATGCCCATGCTCCATTTTACACTTTATTTCATTTTATTTTCAGGGTATATTTTTAAAGTGCTTTCAATTAATAAAATTTTGCTTTAAACTATTTGAACTTTAAGATTAGGATTTTAAGGTATAATAATCTTGTTAGTCAATTCTGCGAATGGTGACAATTCTACTTGTTATCTGATCTCTAAGTTTTTCCTGATCCAAAGAAACATATGTCTCTGGAAATTTTCCTCTCCTTTTGACCATTTTTCTTCCAGTGCATTATTAACCCATCTCTCCTTTATTCTAGTATGTCTTAATAAGAATATGTACTAATACCTGGTATTTAAGGGGTTACATATTCTAACTTATGCATAGAGCTGATATCCCTTGCTGAAGCCAACAAAGGAAGGTTTTTTTCTCTTTGTTCTTAGTTTTGTGAGTCCTCTCTATTAGTTCCCTAACTTCTATCATGTCTCCTTAGTCAATGACGACAGTGAGGAAGAAGATGACTGTGGGTTGATACCAACTGTGGAGGAAATCCCTGAGGATGCAGCTTCTTTGACTATGAAAAGAGAGAATAGCCTTCACAGAACACTGAGCCGCAGGTAACCCACGTGTTTGGCTTTCATTGTTTCCTTAATTCCACTAGATCTCTCTTTTTTCTGTGTGGTCTTTTCCTGAGAGAACAGATCCCATGAACACTCTCAGCTCTTCCTTTGTTTCCTTGAATGGGTGAGGGAAGGATTATTTATGGCTGTGTGGGTTTTCCATAGCTATCAACTCTGAATGCACTTGGATCCCAGCAGTGATTGTGACATCTGCTTGAGAGAAGAGCATTGGGAAGCATCTACATGCTCAGGGAAGTTTTCTCTTCTCTACCTCAGTTCTAGGTCCAGTAGCAGGCATGTGAAGTCCCTGAAAAACTCCTTGAAAATTAAGAATGTGAATACTTTGAAGGAGAAGGAAGAACCAGTAAAAGGACAAAAACTGATTAAGAAGGAATTCATGGAAACCGGAAAGGTGAGTACCACCGGAAAAGTGGGTACCCCACACACAGAAGTACTTCATGAGGTGACGTAAGGCTGGGAATCAGAAGTATTTTGAATTGGCTGAAACTTGACTATATGGCTACAGAAGCAACATGTTCTACTTCTTTGCAAATCTTCAAATTCATTATGAAAGTGATAGCAGAGACTAAGGCTTTCTATCAAACTGTTTCTATGAAAGATAGCTGTTTGAGTCCATTGTGATGCACAGAGAAAAACAAACTGCTTTGAAATGCACTAGCAAAGCAAACCAGAGCACACAACTCAAATCAAACAATTAAAATGACAAATTCCAAGGTCTGCAGTAAAACCTTGTGCTGGATAGCTTTAGTGTCAACTTGACACACCTGGGTTGAGGGAGCCTCAATCAGGGAATTGCCTCTATTGGACTGGCCTGTGGCCATGTCTGAAGGGCATCTTCTTGATGAGTGATGTGGGCGGGCCCAGCCCACTGTGGGCAGTGCCACCCCTGGGCAGGTGGGCCTGTGTTGCATAAGAAAGAAGGCTGAGCAGGGACAAGGGAGCAAGCCAGTAAGCAGCATTCCTCCATGGCCTGTGCTCCAGCTCCTGCCTCCAGGTTCCTGCCCTGAGTTCCTACCTTGGGCTCCCTGATGAACTGCGACCTGGGAGATGGAGGCTGAATAAACCCTTTCTTCCCCAAGTTGGTACTGGTCAGAGTATTTTGTCACAGCAATGAAGAAACAAACTAAGACAAACCCTAACTTTTCTCAACCTGTTTTTTAATGTGTTCTCTTCACTGCATCTAGGTGCTGATTAATAGCCTGATGACTGTTTACCCTGCATTGTATTTTAGCATTTACATATTATCCTGCCCCGGTACCAAAATGGTGATCAGGACATTACTCCTTATGGTTGGTTTTCTAGGTAATTCATTACCCCAAACCATTAAGGTATTTTAATATTGGTGGGGGCTTTGCAGGTGAAGTTCTCCATCTACCTGAAATATCTACAAGCAGTAGGATGGTGTTCGATATTCTTCATTATCCTTGCCACCATGATGAATTCGGTTGCTTTTATTGGATCCAACCTCTGGCTGAGTGCTTGGACCAGTGACTCTCAAGTCTTCAATGGAAGCACCTATCCAGTTTCTCAGAGGGATATGAGAATTGGGGTCTTTGGAGCTCTGGGATTGGCACAAGGTATGTCTGATGGTTAGGACAGTTGTCTCTTAGGGAATTTGCTTGGACCTTGTACATTTCCTATAACTCAGAAAAGCATTTGCTATTATGTCCTGGGCAGAGATCTTCATGAGTCCCATTGCATGATACTGATAATATTCGTTCCATTTCTAGGTTTATTTGTGTTTATTGCAACTCTCTGGAGCACATATGCTTGCACCCATGCATCAAAAACTTTGCACAGGCAACTGCTAAACAACATCCTTCGGGCACCCATGAGTTTTTTTGACACAACTCCCACAGGCCGGATTGTGAACAGGTTTGCTGGTGTACGTATCTGAATATACTAATGTGCTTAAATACTGGGGATAGTTATTTTTTTTAAAAGAACTCTCACCCCCCACCTCAACTTTGTGCAGTTTCAGTTCTTTTGTCTACTCAGCATGCAAATGTTTCTGGAGTACCTCCTGTGAGGTCCCAAGGATCCTAGGGATACAGGGATGAACAGCTCTGACCCTTCAGTAGCTGACCATCTAGTAAAGGAGAATATAAAAAAAATGAATGGTTGTGGCAGAATATGTGAAAACAGTAACAACAGTATGCACGAAATGTACATTCTTTGTACACGGAATACAAAAGAATGTGAGAGAAAGAGGTACTAGCTCAACCTGGATGGCAAGGGTGGGAAATGTCAGAGAAGGTGAGACTCGAGTTGAATCACAGAAGTAAGTCAGAAACAGTGAGGATTGTAGTGTGGGGAGGAGTGGGCAGTAGAAATGGGTTGGGAAGGGATATTCAGCAGAAAAAAATGTAAGTAAAAGCACCATCATTGCTTATAACAGCAAATAAAAGGAATTTGGGATAATTCTTTCCTTGATCTGTCTTTATTCCTAAACTTCTATCTTTGATGCTTTAAGAATCAATGAGTTGGTTGGTCTGAATATTGGAATGGAGCCTTCTTGAAATATGAGGGTCTCAAACATTGTTTCCACCTACATAGATCCTGGAAACACTGGCATTGATTCATTTACTTCTCACCATCAATTGAATACCTTCTATGAGCCAAGTACTGTGTACCCATTCAAATTCTGAATGATACTGAAGTCTCATCAGCACAGCTTTTAGTCCTTTGTTTAGGGAGGAAAGGGAGAACATTTTATAAAATGTCTGAATAGCTCTGGACCCTTATTTGTTTGACCTTATAGCAGGCATATAAAGGGTAGATCATAATTCACAGCCAGGTTCTAGAGACAGCAATTGCTTTGAAAGTAGGCAGGTAGCTAGTCTCTCATTTCTCCTCTTCCTATAGGGCAGAAATAGTGTTCATACTGTCACTACTTAAATGGGCTGCCTGCTGGTTAGTTGAACCTAAAGTGCATATAATTTTGAATGAAAACATTTCTCACAAGGCTTTTGTAAAAATTACAGTCTTTCCAATGCACAATGAATTATGATCATTCTACAGGAAAAGAACACAAAAGTTTTCCTGTGAGCTAGTTAGGCTACAGTCATACTTTGCTGACTGTTTACACATGAAGAAAGAAACTCATTACTCATATGGTAAGTTTTTATTGAGAGGTGACCGGAAAGAGTTTGACATGGGGTCTTCTAGAATCGGTGACTGAGTACTTTAGAAAGAGTAGAGAAAAAAAAAGGTAGAGAATCTGTGTTAGGTAAGGATCAAAAATAATTGTCATAGAGCAAATAGCTAGTAAGGATTTCTTTTTTCTGTTAGCCTTGGATAGTTAATAAATTTATATTCTGATGTAGCCTTGGGAAATGTAGATTAGAATCAGAAGTCATTCCTGAGTCATAGCTCTCTTGGAAGACTATTGTCCCTGACCAAATTTGGGAAATTCTAGAAATAATTTGGACTCATCTTAGTACTCACATATTACTACTCATAGAATCAATAAAATCCTCTAAGAAAGCAAGGCAATGGTAGCCCAAGATATAGAATAGGCTTCCTTAGTGTTCCAAATTGTCCATTCAGCCATTAATTTCTCTTGTTAATCTATTCCACAAGACATGACAAAAGCAGTATGGCAGTACAGCCCATCTGTCACCTTTGGGTTCCTTGGTTGGGACACTGGCAAGCCAAGGAGGCACATTCAACCCCTCCTCCCTTTGCCCTTGAAACTCTATGCTTGGTGGGAGATGCAACTTCCTAGTATAGGATATTTCTCTAAGCAAGGGTGGATGACAAAGCTTATAGATGAGATTTTGTAAGTAATATATATTGAGTACCTATTATGTGCCAGACTCTCTTCTAGGTACCTAATAGAATTAGTACCTGTACGAACTGATTAGGTTTGGTTATGGGAGGATTTATCTAAAAGGCTTATTAGTTCACAGTAATTATGAGTAGTTTAATGAAATTGATGAATGAGAAGAGTGAAAATCTTTACCAAATCTACTGAAAAAGTTGATGGATGACTGCCATACATATTTGGAGAAATTTGGAAAAATGAGGAAATTACAGAAGCAAGATTGATTATTGGGGTGATCAGTACAATCTATTACAAATGGATGACTTGTAAAGCTTAAAGACAAAGACCCAAGGAACACAAAAATCAAACATTTCAGGCTGAAACCAGGGAGATTGATGATGTCTTAGGAATTATTGGTTCACCTTCTCTCCTAATTGTATCATATCCCTAGGATATTTCCACTGTGGATGACATGCTCCCTCAGTCCTTGCGAAGCTGGCTTATGTGTTTATTTGGCATAATTAGCACTCTCGTGATAATCTGCTTGGCCACCCCTGTCTTTGCCATCATCATCATTCCCCTTGGCATTATTTATGTGTCTGTTCAGGTAAGCTTGGAAATGGCTAAGTCTCCTTTCTCTCTGGTTTTGAAAGTCCTGAGACTCTTCTTTTGTGTTCATTGTTAGTTACTCCTCTCCAACATCTTTGATCTACCCAGGAAAGAACAGGGAATTGTCAGCATCAGTTGGTATATGTTCACAGCAAATCACACCCTAAACTGCCTTCCAGAAACTTAAGTGGAACAGATGTATTTGGAAGATCATTTTGAGGAATAGGGATGTAGCTCAGTGGCAGAACACTTGCCTAGCACTAAGATATGAGAGAGAGGAGGGGGAGGGGAAGGGAGGGAGAGAGAAGGAGGAAGGGAGGGAAGAGAGAAAGAAAGAGATATTATTGTGGGTAAATTTTCATAGCTGGATAAGAACCCCCACAAAGGTTAGGTCATTTCCATGAGAGTAGTGCCAGGCCTGCTTTCTCTTTTGGCTTTGAATGGGACTTAGAGATGGCTGTCTCCACAGAAGCTAGATCTCTTTTCACTTCAGGGCAGTTCTAGTTCCACTGGAATGACTGTGGATGGTTTAGTCTTAATCTCAACAATTATTTGAGGGACTAGATGGCTTGGAGGCCAAGCTTCCCAGAAAGCTGGAATAAGTAGAAGGCACTAATAAACATTGATAAGAAAATGAAAACTGTAAAAAAAACTCTTTCCTACAAGTTACCTTTATTTTTGTTAAATTTATTTATTATTACTACTTTGTGTGTGTGTGTGTGTGTGTGTGTGTGTGTGTGATGTGGGTAGGCATGCACATGCCACCTATACATGTGGAGGTCAGTTGTTTTTCTCTTTCCACCTTTATTTGGGTGGGATGCTCACCCACAGGGTATCAGGCTTGCAGAGTAAGCACTTTTACCCACTGAGCCATCTCTCCAGCTCCCCAGTTGCCTTTGTGGTGAACATAGGAGAACTCTACAGTCTGGGTCATGTGGCCTTTTCTCCTGTGGTAAGACAGCACCTCTCATGCCTGTGTGGAGTTCTACAGGACACTCCCATGTCCTAACAGCCTTTTGATTATTCATAACAAATCAACAAATGAGGCTAAATTGAGGAAATTCTCAGGTATAATATTTTGCATTCTGACTCTCAGATTTTCAGTTCTCCCCTTGGCTTCAGCAGATCTGTATGGAATCCAGTAGCACCATGAACCAAATTCACCTTGCTTGTCATCCATGAACATTTATAGCCAGTTCCAGTTCTTACATCCCCAGCATTCTGCATATCTCCAGAACTGTCTTTATTTTCACATCACTGAAGCTTAGCTTTGGTCACTCAACTGATCTATTCTTCATTTTAACTCAGACCTCAATGTTCTTATCTCTGAACATGTCCTGCCCTGCCCATCCCTATTTTACATATTCCC